GCATCATCAGCATCATCATCCGCATCATCATCATCGGCATCGTCATCGTCATCGTCAGCATCATCAGCCTCATCAACAGCAGCATCATCATCATCAGCATCACCATCACCATCACCATCACCATCATCATCATCATCATCATCAGCATCATCATCATCATCATCAGCATCAGCATCATCATCATCATCATCATCATCATCATCATCATCATCATCCGCATCCTCATCAGCATCATCATCATCAGCAGCAGCAGTTTCAGCATCATCAGCATCATCGTCATCATCAGCATCATCATCATCAGCATCATCATCAGCATCAGCATCAGCATCATCCTCACCATCAGCATCATCAGCATCGGCATCAGCATCATCATCAGCATCATCATCAACATCATCATCCTCATCATCATCATCAGCAGCATCAGCATAATCATCATCAGCATCAGCATCGGCATCGGCGTCGTCATCAGCATCGGCAGCAGCAGCATCATCATCATCAGCAGCAAAAATAGCATCATCATCAGCAGCAGCAGAAGCAGCATCATCATCATCATCAGCACACATCGGCATCAGCATCATGAGCATCAGCAGCATCAGAATCATCATCACCATCAGCATCATCATCATCGTCGTCATCATCATCAGCAGCAGCATCATCATGACATTAGCATCATCAACCGCATTAGCAGCATCATCATCAGCATCATCATCATCCTCACCACCACCTCCTATTCCTCCGTCTCCTCATCCTCCTCCTCATCATCAGTATCATAATCATCATCATCATCATCATCATCATCATCATCAGCAACAGCAGCATCATCATCATCATCCGTAGATTCATCATTATCACCATCATGACAGTTACCATTATCAGCAGCAGCAGCAGCATAACCATCATCATCATCAACAGCATCAGCAAAGCAGCAACAGCATCAGCATCATCATCAGCAGCAGCAGCCTCATCGGCATCCTCCTCCTCATCATCATCGTCATCAGTATCATAATCATCATCAGCATCATCATCAAACTCAGCATCATCATCAAACTCAGCATCATCATCATTATCGTCATCATCACCAGCATCATCAGCAAAATCAGCATCAGCATCATCATCCTCACCTTCACCCTCGCCCTCGTCATCCTCCTCCTCCTCCTGCTCCTCCTCCTCATCTTCTTCCTCCTCCTCCTCCTTCGCTTCCTCTTCCTCCTCCTCTTCCAACTCCTCCTCCTCCGCCTCAGCCTGCTGATCCGCCGCCTCCGCCTCCGCCTCCTCCTCCGCCTCCGCTTGCGCCTCCGCCTCCGCCTCTGCCTCCGCCGCATCGCCCTACTCCTCGTCCTCCTCCTCTTCCTCCTCCTCCTTTTCCTCCTCCTCCTCCTCCTCCTCCTCCTCCTCCTCGTGATCCTCCTCCTCCTCCTCATCCTCCTCCTCCTTCTCCTCATCCTCCCCCTCCTCCTCCTCCATCTTCTCCCCCTCCTCCTCCTCGTCCTCCTCATCCTCCTCCTCCTTCTCCTCCTCCATTCCCTTTCCTGATAAGTAAC